TGTGTGTCTGATAGTGTGTGTGTGTATGTGTGTGTGTGAGTTTGTGTGTGTGTGTGTGTGTACATCTATATGCGTGTGCGCGTGTGTATAACTTATAAGTACACACAGTTGTATTCAATTCTCATACCTGGTTCTCCTCTATGTTCGTGCAGAATAATCAGATCCGTAACATCGCTACTCTTACACGTATCCACCAGCTCTTTCACCACATGATTACCTCTGTTCAGCCTCTGACTATTCGGGAATATCAGCTTAATCTCTTTAGCAAACTGCGATAGTTTACTAGAAGGATCTCTCGCAGTAGTAACCACAATTTTGGGATCCTTCACCCCTGCGAATGCATACTCGTCATCAATATGATCCTTTACATTGGCCGTCTTGTCATCATCCATAGCAATCTCATGTCTTAGTGCCGCTTCATCGGCTTTCAGCTCGCTGGGTATCTTTTTTCCTTTGGCTAGGGCTTCTTTCAGTCTGCGTTTCCGTTCACCCGTTTGTTTCTCTTTGTCCTCAAGTGCTTTGCGGTAAAGGTACTCTTTGCGCAAACGCGATTGACGGCGCAGCATTGTGAACAGTTATATCCTTGTACGCTAAAAGAGCTTCTCAATTGGAGTATCACTTACACTGTTTCTCGACAGTATATTCGTAGAGTTGTTGGTCAGGTTCTAGTCTAGGCTACACTGTAAATGATCTGTGTAGGCTGGATATTACTATACACGATTGCTCGACTCAACAATAGGGATACCAATAACACGGCCTAAGCTGTGCTCACATATCACTACTAGAGAGCGTAAAATTTCAAAATACACGTGCGGTATATTTTTTGATGACTCTGATTTTGTGATTTCCACAAAATGGACCATAAATAAAAGCAACAAGACACGTGCATGTAGGAGGCGGGTTTAACTATACTGTCTTTTTGAGCGTCGACCTGTGTATTTCGTATACTGTACTGTATATAGATATACAGTTAGATAGTACTTGATCTAAATAGCATTTGATCTTTTTATTTTAGAACATAAAAGCAGCTAATATGAGCGTGGCTGGACAGTCGCAAGGTATGTTAATGCAAAACTTGGAAACATGTTTCTCGGTACAATTTATATGGCTAAAAGCACCAAATTGTTGACCAACGTGGAGTCATTCTTCTGACATTCGTAGCCCCTGAATAGCTAACTATATATACAAATTTGTGCGTGTCCAATGTATTTGGATCTAATCATATTTATATATATATTT